GTGGGGGGGTATGTCAGAGAAATAATTTCTTCTTGTTAAACAAACCCATATGGTGTTTACAAAGTAAAGGGTATGGTCACATCGATGACAATATTGTCATCAATTTTTTAACACGTTATAATCACACAAACACAAAACACATGTGCTAAAATTCTAACCAATATTGGTTATGAGAATTGATTCAAATACAAATAAAAACCAAACATACACCAAAAAAAATCACAAACATTCGATCATCAAACATACACACAGTAGCAAACAGCAAACTTTTGTTAATTTTTTTTTTGTTCGAATTTTTCCACAATTTAATATTAAAAAATGGACCAGAAGAGAATTCTTCGAAAATTTGATTCAATAGTAGCTAAAATTAGGCAAAAACGTGCCGACAGTAAGTAAATAGTAATGTTTGCTCAAATATTCTTCTTTATTTTTAAACTATTGATCAATCAACAGTTCGCACAATTGAATCCTGGATTGTGGCCATGGATATGCTTCAAGAGCTATTCGGTAATCAAAGATTTTTTGATTTTTCGATGGGAGAGGAGAGATGGAAACTTATGATGAACTATATGGAACAGGTGATAGCCGGTAAAGCAGGTGAAATACCCGAAAGGCTCGTCGAGCGATTCGCCTTTGCTAAAGCTATATCTACCAAGATATCCTTTAGGAGTACGCTTGTACAATTGGTGAGTACGATCCGTAAGTGTTTCGTATCTATCAATAAAATTCTTAATGATTATTCAATAGAATATTGGATGTTCCCGATCCGTCAAATCGACAAATGGCCAATCTTACTGATGGTGATCAACAAATGGTCAATCTTGCTGATGGTGATCAATTATTTATTTTTTTTTTAATAATCGAAAAAAATAAAAAAAAAATTTTAAATTTCTAATTTATCGTGAAAGTTTAATATAAAGTTCCTGGGAAAAACGAATTTCCGGGAAGATTAAAAAGCTCGAAAATTTTGAAATTTAAAAATTCAAAATAAAATTTCTGGAAAAAGTAAATGGGGAAAAAACTAAAAAAGAAAGAAACTTTCCGGTAAACTTATATTCGTTCGAATTTTAAGCTCAATTCCTGTGAGGAAGAGCACGTGTGTTAAATAATTTAAGTCTCTACGAACAACTTATGTGTTAAAAATTACGGTCTCTATATTAGTTCGAAATTCGAACTTAGCTTTTTCATTTTAATATTTTCGCTGTGTTCTTTTTCGAACATTCCTATTCCCATTTTTTATGATATAAATAAAAACACGTGCAAGTCAGTGTGTTACAAAAGCTCAATCTTATTTGTTCTATTTTATCAGTTTATGTATACATTATGTAAAAAAGTTTTGAACGTATTGTGATTCTCTGTACAAAATGAGTGGTTACAAAATCAAAAATGATAAAGCATCTATTCATCTGATGGATGATGATTTGATATCACAAATGATCGTTTTGATAAAGCCAAATTATCCCTGTTTATGGAATGTCGCCGAACCCGATTTCAAAAATGTAAATTTGGAACGAAATTGCTGATAAATTGAATTTCTACGCGGCTTAAAAAAAAATAATATCAATAAATTACCGGATTTGATAACCGGTAAATTGGTTCAAGCAAAATCACCGGAACCTTAAAATCACGTATTCTACATTGAAAAAAAAAATTTCTGATAAAGATTCGTCAGATAATTTAGAATATTTCTCCTGGTGTGTACTATCAAATAATACATGGGGCATCCACCCAAGGAGAAATATCGTGGAGAAGGACCTAGACAATATTACTAGATTGACAGATTTAAAAAAAAAATCGATATTCTATATCTGTGTGTGGCTAAAACAATGCCAAATTCGAATGTTGTTTATGATTTACGACAAACACCATCAAGACGTTTACATCAAAATATGGTGATCTACGATAAAAACACGATCCAAATGTTGCATGCAAAGTGATTTTGTTTTTGTATTTTTTTTTTTGTAAAATGTGGATGGCGTTCAAAATGATAGAAAAATGATCAATAAATCGAATGTTTTCATTTTTTGGATATCAAAAAAAAAACCCATCTATATTCTTGATCTTTACCACTTTCTGTCTTTTCTTTTTCTTTTTGTTTAGCTTGATTTGATTGATTGTTTATTTTGTTATGACATGTCTTATCATTTTGTTTTGCAAAAAAACAAAAAAAAAAAATGATCAATCCCCATCCAAATGTCCAACACACTCACACAAAATTGAAAATTGAAACATTGAAAAATTCCTTTCGCTGAATATCTAAATCATAAACATTGATATTGTTTTTCATATATATGAAATTCGTGTGAGAATGTTTATACTTAAAATGTTTGGACACACGATTGACATTCTTTTGGTATTCTTATGGTGGTCGTAACCTTTGATCTTTCAATTCTTTGACATGTGCTTTTGGTTATTGTTTGAAAATGTATCATTTTGTATCTAAAAACATTTGGTGTTTGTTATTTTTTATGGTATGCATTTTTTTGACATGGCAATTTATCAACGCTACTCGAATTACTTTTCTTTCGGCACATCTGGTGTGTTAACAAGTGGTTTTTTTTCTTGTTTGTTTTTCCAATTACCAAATGAAATTAAGAAAATGGAATTTAGCCTTGGAAAAAAAATTCAAAAGAATTCCGAAAAATCATTTTATGACCAAAAGTGATTTGTTTGTTTATGTTATTCTGATGATGATGGCCATATGTGTGTTTTTCGTTTTGGTCATTTCGTATTCCAAAAAAAAATTCCTTCTGAATATCTTTGAATATAAACATTGTCGAAATTTTTTTTTTTGTTTTGTAAAAAATAATTTTTATTTATTATCAAAATTTTCTAGAAAATCATTATTATCAAATTACAATCATTTACATTTAACAAAAATTATAAGTTTTCTTTGTTTGTTTCAAACATTATCATCATTATGATGAATTGATGGTGTTCATCGTAGTTGATATGGTTGATTTAACCAACAATTTTTTTTTTGTTGACCAAATATATCCCGATGATGGTGGGTGGTGATTAATTTAATGGAATTTTTGAAATGAAAAGAATCTTGACTTGGTTTTTGGTAAGTGAAGATTTGTCAAAAGAGAGTAAGCCTCACAGAAGAAAAAAATGATATCCAATAAAAAATGAAAGATTTTCTTTTTTTTTCGATCCGATAATTTTCAAATCAAATGAACGCCACAAATATACGTTGTATGTGTGTGTGTCAGGTAGTTGTGTGTGTTGTGTTGTTGTTATGTGTTTTCCTTTATTTCCTTTTCTTGTTGTTTCTGAGTGAACTTGTTGTGTTCACGGTGTGTTTTCTATTTTATTATTTACACACACACACTGTAGCAATTTTCGATTTCTCTCAATGTAAAATTATGATTTTTTCTTTTTTTTTTGTAAAATTCATCATCTTCTTATTTAAATTGTGTAAAACCTTTTTTGTAAATCAATTAAATCTATTTTCAATTATTTCAATTTCAGTTATGTTTTGTTCTTAATCTAACATTAAACATTGTTTTCATTTTTAAAATGCTTCGTGCTCGTCGTATTCTTTGTTTTATTCGTGAAGATATTCGTTCTGCCTTATATTAGTTCGGTCTGGAAAGCGACATATAACATACATACATACAGATGATAATGGACCGTCTGTATTGTAGCTGAAAACGTCCAATCAACATCGTCAAATATTATTGAATCACTTGGCATCTTGCGCCGCCCTAGGTGCCTAAATGAAAGCGAATCGCAACGTCGCATCCGCTTGGATCGTCAAAATGAATTGGCTAGATTGAGACGACAGAGATCTAGAGCAGCTCGAAATCTGAGCAACATCGAACAACAACAACCAATGCATACAGATGATAATGGACCGTCTATTGTAGCTGAAAACGTCCAATCAACATCATCAAATATTATTGAATCACCGGGCATCTTGCGCCGCCCTAGGTACCGGAATGAAAGCGAATCGCAACGCCGCATCCGCTTGGATCGTCAAAATGAATTGGCTAGATTGAGACGAGAGAGATCTAGAGCAGCTCGAAATCTGAGCAACATCGAACAACAACAACAACCAATGCAAACAGATGATAATGGACCGTCTATTGTAGCTGAAAACGTCCAATCAAGTACCATTAATCAAGATGAACCAGTTCCCATAAGAACTAACAACATAATTGAAAATATTGTTAGTCGACATGCCATGATAGATAGACAACAAAGATCTGCATGGAAATTTGATAATTCGGTATTGGAATCTAATTGGCAAACCTATCTTCACAATCTTGGACCTATGGATCAAACGTGCCAGTATTGCTCCGCAAATTATTTCCTTCATGAAAATCAAAGCAGTTGTTGTAGAGGAGGAAAAATTCGTCCACCACATGATTATCGAAATTATCCTGAATTTTTAAAAAAATTATTGAGTGACCCGAGTGCTGTTGATTATAAACATTTTCAAGATAAAATCCGATCGTATAATGCAGCTATCGCAATGGCCTCATTAGGCGCTAACCATTGTGGTCCGATTCAGGGCCGAGGTCCATTTTGCTTTAAAATTATGGGTCAGATTTATCATTCAACAAGCAATCTTTATCCAACTAACAGCCAAGATCAACGATCATTCGGTCAGCTTTATATATTCGATGGTCATGAAGCTGTTGAACACAGATTACGATTGGCGCCGAATCGTCAATGTAAAGAATATATTTTGAGCAAGTTAGTCGATATGATGGTGAATATCAATCCATATGCCCAATCATTTAGGCTATTGCATTCTTTGGTTCAAGGCCAAACAAATTTGCCGGAGATTCACTTGGAATTTATCAATAACCGGACAACAGATATAAGAAGATACAATGAACCAAGATGCACTGAGGTTGCTATTATATTCGAAACCAGAGACGGTTTACCTCAAGCAGAACGTAATCTGCAAATCTATCCGAAATCCGGACACAATTGCGTAAATCTATGCAGTCGAAGCCCTCATTGCGATCCAATGACGTATCCCATTTTTTTCCCTAATGGACAACAAGGATGGCATCAAAACATGCCGTATGATCCATTCCCAAATGTCAATTTGCCACAAACAAGAGGATCAATCACATTACTTCAATATTATTCGGCACAAATGGCTATCAGAGCAGAAATATTCAGTCCAATTCTTCATGGAGGTAGGCTGTTCCAGCAATGGTGCTGCGACTGCTACATGCGCATCGAAGAGAATAATCTTAATTATCTTCGTCTAAATCAAAATCAATTGCGCACCGAATTGTACTCCGGTTTAGGTGATTATGTGAGAAGAATGGCTGATAATCAGGAAGAATTGCCACCACCCGGTAAAATTTGCATATTGCCTTCATCATTTGTAGGATCACCGAGATACATGCATCAAGCGTATCAAGATTCGATGGCAATTGTGACTGCATTTGGGAAGCCAGATTTGTTCATAACTTTCACATGCAATTCCAATTGGCCCGAAATCAAGAACAATCTGCTTCCAGGTCAAGAACCCAGTGATCGCCCAGACCTTATAAGTCGGGTTTTTTCTTTAAAAACAAAACAGCTTATCGAGGACATTGTGGCTAAACAACTTTTTGGGCCCGTAAGTGGCTATTGCTACACAATAGAATTTCAAAAACGTGGATTGCCGCACATGCATCTACTCATCATTCTTCACAATTCTTATAAAATTCATGAAGTAGATCATATCGACAAATTCATAAAAGCCGAATTACCGAATCCAAATATTCATCCACAACTATATGAACGAGTCAAGTCGTTCATGATACACAACCCATGCGGGCTATTGAATCCGGCTTCCCCATGCATGGTTGATGGGAAATGCTCAAAACAATATCCAAAAGATTATCAACAAGCCACCGAATTCAACAGAAGTGGGTGGCCTTTATATCAAAGGTCTGAAAATGGCTCATCTTTTATTCAAAATCAAATCGAAATCGACAACAGATGGGTGGTTCCATATAACCCATTTTTATTGATGAAGTTCAATGCTCACATCAATGTGGAAGCATGTTGTTCAATTCATGCCATCAAATACCTTTATAAATACATCCACAAAGGGCATGATTCAGCACTGATCAGATTACAACAAAATGGAACGACTATGTATGACGAGATACAAAATTATGTGGATACAAGATATGTGAGTTCGTGCGAAGCAACGTATCGAATCCAGAGTCAAAAATTACTCGATCGCTCACATGTGATTCAACGGTTACCTGTTCATTTACCGGATGAACAATCAGTCGTCTTCGCTGCTGGCCAAGAAGAAATGGCATTAGCCAGAGCCGCTATACGAAAAACAAAGCTTATCGGGTGGTTCGAATTGAACCAAATAAATTCAACTGCTCGATCACTGAAATACGCAGAAGTACCCCATTTCTTTACGTGGTCGCAATCGAATCATTGTTGGAATAGCCGGCAAAATCACCATTCTTCGTTGACACGTCTTTATGTTGTAAGTCCTCGGCACGCAGAAAGATTCGCGTTGAGGTTGTTGTTGTTAAATGTTAAGGGAGCAACATCGTTTGAGTTTTTACGGACTTTCAACGGGATATTATACCCAAGTTTCCAGGAAGCGGCAAGAAAAAGAGGATTGTTATCTTCTGATGAAGAAATAGAAGAATGCTTGCAAGAAGCTGTGGCTATCGAAACACCAAAAAATCTGCGATCCATTTTTGCATATCTGCTTATTTTTAATGGAGCAGAAGTTTTGCAGAATGCAAACGACATTTGGATAAAATTTAAAGAATCGTTCAGCGAAGATTTTGTTCGTCAATATCAAACAATTATTGAAGATGAAAACTTGGCAAAAGAAAGAGCCGAACAACGAGCATTGCTGGAAATCAAAACAATATTGCAACAACATAGCTATAATTTGCATACTTTTTCGCTACCTGAAATTAGTATTTCACCGGAATTACGTCTTGACGATAATTCCATTAGAATTGAAGAATATCGATTAGAAGCAGAAATATTGTGCCAAAAACTTAATGCGGCGCAACGGGCCGCATTTGATGAAATAATGAGCACCACAGGTTCGAAATGTTTTTTCTTAGATGGCCCAGGTGGCTCAGGAAAAACATTCCTCTATAATGCAATTATCAAGACAATTAAAGGCTCAGGAAAAGATGTACTGGCATTCGCCACAACAGGAATAGCTTCCCTGTTGTTGGAAGGCGGAAGAACGGTCCATAGTGGATTAAAACTTCCACTAGATGTCAATGAATCAAGCGTTGCCGGAATAAAGCCTTCATCAAGACAAGCGGAAGAAATAAGAAAATGTGAGATCATCATAATCGACGAAGTTACGATGATGACTGTTCACATTTTGAATTGCATTGACCGTCTCCTTAAAGACGTTATTCAAGATATTAATCAGCCGTTTGGAGGTAAAAAGATTCTTATTGGTGGGGACTTTCGGCAAACTTTGCCCATAGTCCCACATGCGACAAATCCGGCTGAAATTATTGAAATATGTATCAATCGGAGTTCAATTTGGAATCACTTCAAAAAATTGACACTTATCGATAACATGAGATTGCAGACAAACAGCGAATTCAATGAATGGCTGCTTAAAATTGGAGCCGGAACAACACCTGCTATCGCCGGTCTTCATTCAAATATGGTGGAAATTCCAAGCAGTATGATTTGTGTTGGGGATTTAATCAGTCAAATTTTTGGAAATTTTACCGATACAGATGATTTGGCCAATCGGATTATTTTGACAGCAACTAATGAAATGGCGGATAAAATCAATATGAGGATATTGGGTTATTTACCTGGAGAAGAAAGAACGTACAGATCAATTGATACACATATCTTCGAGGATGAGGATGAAAACGAACAGGCCGGAATTCAGGTCGAATTCCTGAATTCATTGTCGACGGGTGGAATGCCTCCACACGAGCTCAAATTAAAATTGGGTTCGGTGGTTATTTTATTGCGCAATTTGGATCATCGAAAGGGCCTTTGCAACGGTACAAGATTACAGATCGTGAGGATGCAGCAAAAATCAATTACTGCGAAGATTTTATCGGGAGTTAATCACGGGGAATTAGTTTGTTTACCCAGAATAAACCTTACAACAAAAAAGGGTTTATATCCTTTCATATTAAAACGAAAACAATTTCCTATTAGACTTGCCTATGCTATGACGATCAATAAATCGCAAGGGCAAACCTTCAACGCAGTTGGGATTCACCTCAACAAACGATTGTTCGGCCACGGACAACTTTATGTTGCTTTGTCCAGGTGTAGAAATCCAAACAACATCAAGATTTTTATAGAAGAAACTGATATCACTCAAGGTGATGTATTAAAAAACGGACGTCAATACATCACAAACATCGTCTATCCGGGTATTGTGTAATAAGAAGACTTAATTTTTTATTTTAGTTTTATTTTGAATTATTATTATTATTATTATTATTATTCTAACCTCAGACAATTATTTCGAATGAAATTTTTTTATTACTATTGCTTTTTTGTTATTAATAAGATTATTTATCCTGTTATTATTAGAAAAAAAATTATAAAAATCATAAATTAACGAAAAAAAAATTATTATTAACTTTTAATAAAAAAAAACATTTTAACGCGTTCGCATCAATATATTCATATGCAAGAGAAAAAACTTCAGCCAAAGATTAGGGCGATGGGCGGCGTAGCCGCACATCTGCCAAAATCTTCAGGCTGAAGCAAGTGTGCGTGCTGCTGGCCGAAGGCCAGCAACACACACTTGTAAAAGATAAAGAAAAAAAACCGCAAAATCTAAGCGCTTT